GCATCAGCCAGGCCCCTACTTTCCCAGTGAGGGTTTGATCAGGTTTACCCGGGGCGACGCCACCGCCAGACTTGGCCTCTGCCTCGAGTCTCCAAAGAGGCCCCTGTGGCCCTGGGCCCCCTCAGCGCCTGGGCTTCCCGCCCTCCCCGCCCGCGGCCCCCTGGACTGGGAGCAGGGGCCCAGACCCTGCATCCTCCCTGCCTCCCCGCCCTAGATCTCAGCGAGACGATCCTCAGCGAGCCCCTCAAGCACTCTGACTTCTTCAACGTCAAGGAGTTGTTCTCAGTGAGAAGTCTCTTCGATGCGCGAGTGCACCTGGGACACAAAGCGGGCTGTCGGCACAGGTGGGTGACATCCCTGGTGGGTGTGGTGATTCCTCCAGGGGTTTGGGACCCTGCCTTGGGGTCCAGGGCCACTCCTTCAGTTTTTGCGAGAGAACAGCCCCCTCTCCCTCCAGATGGGATCTCTGACCCCAAAGACGGGCAGGTGTTTATGATCAGATTCGGTTTGTCCCCCGCTCCATGCGTCTAACTGGGTACCTTGGAGTGGGGCCCATGGTCCTGGGTGGGGACAGGCCAGCAGCCGTTCTTGTGAACCGGTGATGGATGAGGGGGCTGCCAGGCCGCCCACATCTGGAGGGGAAGTCTGGAAGATTATGCAGACGAGTAGAAACTGGCTCAGTTTCTTCACAAAGTTGTAAGATGGCTGAGTTGAGAATGGACTGAAGGGACAGGTGGGAGGCCACGGGAGGAGGTGGTTGTGGAAGTTCAGGGGGAGGTGACGGGCCCAGTTCCTGAGGGCAGAGTCCGGGTTTGGGGTTGGTCTCGGGGGACAGAGCAGGTGTTGGTGTCCTTCCCTGAGATGGTCAAAGCCACATCAAGGCCTGGGGGGACATCAGAAACTTGATCCTGTGCCAGGCGACCTTTCGGCCACCCCAGTATTGATGTCACACAGGCCCTAGGAGGGAGTAGCCTGGGCCTGGGGGGGCACCATGTCAGGACCTCTTGAGAACATCTGGAGAGGAGAGGAGGTCCCAGGCAGGACCTCTGGGCTGCCAGCATCTTAGGTTCCAGGAAGAAGGGGCCAAGAAGAGGGAGGGCAGCTACCCAGAAGTCACCTGAGGTGAGGGCAGGTGGAGGTCGTGGGGCCTCGGGCAGTCTGTTGAGAAGAAGGGACTGAATCCAGATGCGAGTGAGCAGGGGATGAGGACCAAGGGACGGTCTCCTGCCCCCATCTCTCTGTCCTAGTCAGCCAGTCTGTGCCCTTGGGGTTCTCCTCCCGGGCCTGGCTGGCTTCTGTTCTGGCCCCTCACACTCGCAGCCCAGGGCACCCCCTGCTCTGCTGGTCCCCCGGGCAGGGTTGGGGGAGGGGAGGCAGCCTTGGTTGTGAAGCCTCAGAGATGGAACTGCAGCCAGCCCAGCAGTACCGGGCAGAACGGTCTGTGCATCGCGTTCGCGTGTCCAGACAGCCGTGTGGGATGAGCTGTTAGAATCCCCACGCAGCACGGTGGAGGTTCCGAGGCCCAAGCCACTTGTCTGAGCCGTGGGAGTGGCCTGTGGCCTAGCCTGCCCTGCCCCCGCCCCCACCCCTGGCTGCCTCTGGCCGTCACTCCTGGGACAAGGCGCTTGCTGCTCTCGTTGCACTGAGGGGCTGCGGGCTGCACCAGCCCAGTATGGTGTGTCCCCCATGGAGGGGCCGAGGGGGTATGCATGGAGGTGGCCACGTGGGCCCGTTCACACTGGCCTTGGTGCGTGTCTGGCAGGTTCATGGAGCCGTACATCTTCGGGAGCCGCTTGGACCAGGACATCATCGACCTGGACCAGACGGCCGCACACCTGCAGCTGGCCTTGAATTTCACGGCCCACGTGGCCTATCGCAAGGGCATCATCCTGTTTGTGAGCCGCAGCCGGCAGTTCTCACACCTGATCGAGAGCACGGCCCGGGACTGCGGCGAGTACGCGCACACCCGCTACTTCAAGGGCGGCCTGCTGACCAACGCGCCCATCCTCCTGGGCCCCATGGTGCGCCTGCCCGACCTCATCATCTTCTTGCACACGCTCAACAACGTCTTCGAGCCCCACGTGGCCGTGAGGGACGCGGCCAAGATGAACATCCCCACCGTGGGCATCGTGGACACCAACTGCAACCCGACCCTCATCACCTACCCCGTCCCTGGCAATGACGACTCGGCCCCTGCCGTCCACCTCTTCTGCAGGCTCTTCCAGACCACCATCAACCGGGCCAAGGAGAAGCGGAGGCAGGTCGAGGCCCTGTACCGACTGCAGGGCCCGGAGGGGGCCGCAAGCCTGGCTCCAGCCGACCCTGCTCCCCCAGGAGCGCAGGCCGGGCTGGACTTGGGTCATTCCCCTTGACGGGCCGCCCTCCTCCCGGGTGAAGCAGCAGCCAAGCCCGTTCCTAAGCTGGGAACAGCCCCCCATGCCACCCCCTCCCCCCTCCTCCCTCCCCCCCTCCCCCCCTCCTCCCTTCCCCCGTCATCCCAGGCACTGGGTCCCGGCTGCTAGTGACTTCTCAGCAGCTGCCCACCCAGGGCTCCACGTCAGACCCACGACCCCGGCAGGCTCCCAGGGCAAGCAGCCTGTCCACAAAGGACCCATTGGGAGCCACTTTGCCCCTGGGTCCTGCAGTCCTTGCTTTTCCCTCGAGATGAGCCCCCCGTGTGTTGGCAGGGTTCTCACACCAGGTCTGACTTTTACTCTCAGAACACCCCGAGGTCGGGCTGCTTCCTGCCGCCTGGTTTCAGGAGCTGTTTTGTAACATGAGGCTGCAGGGCGAGCCACTCCAAGATCCCGTCTGGGTTGGAACTGGCCGGGTAGAGCAGGCAGCACGATTCCAACAAATAAAACTGGGCTTCCGGCAGGACGGTGCCCGGACCATCAGGTCTGCAGTGTGGTCTGTGCTCTTGTCTCTGCTCGCCCCCAGGAGCACACAAGACTCAGCTGTGCCCTCTGGTGCTCGGGCTTCGGGGAGGCAGACGTGCAGACGTGTTGGGTGGGAGGGCAGAGGCCCTGGCTGTACCTCGGCACCGTCCTCCGTGCTGGGGCTCGGAGGCCTTGGGACCTGCCCGCGTCCTGAATGGTCAGGAGGGACGTACGGACACTCATTCCCGGGTTTCCTGGGTGCTCCCTCGTCGGTGAGGCCTTCTGGGGTGAGGTGCGGACCGCTCTTTCCGGGAGCCTGCCCTGTGGCACTCAGCATGTTCGCTCCCGGGGTGCCTGACCGCCCCCGGGAACCTGTCTGCTGGCGAGGGTCTGTGAGGGCGGGGCAGACTGGCGCACGAGGGCAGGAAGCTGAGTCCTGGGGTCCAGTCAGCATCTCTTTTCAGGGAGAGGGTGCGTGGTGGAGGTTCCTGGTGTTCTCTGGAGACACTCTGGGTTCCTGGTTCAGAAGGTGCAGGAAACTGAGCGTCTCTTTGAAAGCACCGACTGACCAGTCTTGCTTTGATTTGCAAATGTGAAGTATGAAGATGCAGATCTGTAGGCGGGTAAACCGAGGGCCCCCCGCCCAGGGCTTCCCCCCACTGGAGACCGCGTGTGTGGGTGTGGGTGAGCTTCCCCGAGCAGGTGGCCTGTGGGGAGAGCCAGCAGGGCTGCCCCTTGGCGTTCTAGGGAGACCCCCGTGGGAGCCGAGGCCCTGGAGATGAGCACAGTGTGGAAATGCTTCCTGGCCATCCATGCACGGGAGTTCCCGGAGCACAAACTGGGCCTCCCCAAGGCTGCAGGGGGTCCACACCACCCCTCAGAAGCGGGCATTTAGGGCACCACAGGCAGCCTGGGGGCGGTGAGTGACACGCAGGGAGACACGAGTACACAGGAGCCGTGGGACTGGCTGGAGGGGAGCAGCCTGGGGGGACAGACTCCCTGGAGCACCCCTGCCTCACCCCATTCCCTAGGGGACCCTAGGATACTTGGAACCCACTCTGGATCCAGGCGGTGAAGACCAGCCGGGGCGACAGCAGTGTCTGAGTCACTGGCTGTGCTTCCAGCCCGGGTGCTGGGGGCAGGGTGGGCAGGAGCGGCGCACCCTGTGGGTGTCCCAGTGGACAAGCAGAAGCAGATGAGCCCGATGGGTCCAGCTGCACGAGGACCAGAGCCAAGATCGGGGCCTCTCTGGGAAGAGCAGCAAGGGGACCAGAGGGGCTCAGGTTGACAGAGCGAGCGTGGCCTCACCCCTGCGGGAGGGCACCTCCAAGTTTGCCTCCCTGGCAGTGAACCCCAAGAGATGCCAGAAGCTCTGAAGGGGGTGAATGCGCCTAGCCTTGGGGTCACGAGAGGAAGGGCCGCCCCCAAGCCCTCGACTTGCCCTTTACACCTGAGCTCAGGGCCCTGGTAGGGCTGTTCCCTGACCACTGGTGCCTCAGGCGCCTGGAAGAGCCGGGCTCCTGAGGGATCAGGGGCCGGACTGGGCAGGTGCACCACGCCCCCAGCCTGGGCCAGGACAAGCCAGGGCGACTGGGTACGGAGGGCCTCCAGAACCAGGCCTCGGGATGGCTGTGACCAGACGCCACCCAGACACCTCCCCAGGGCCCCGCCCAGGGCTTCGCCTCTTGAGTGACCAGTCCCCAGCCAAGAAGCTGGGCCCCTCCCTTCACCCACCAGTGCCGTCCACCCAGGGCCTAGGCCGGGTGCGAAGGCAGTTTGCACATATTTGTAAGGCTGTCCGAGACAAGTTTTTATGTGCTGTTGCGTTTCAGGATGTGAACGTGGATATTTGGGGATTGTTTTTGAACTGCCTCTCCTTTGAAAATTGGCCCCCATGTGAGAATGAGTCAGCCCTGAACCCGTGAGAGACCCGGAGGCGGGGGTGGGGGGGTCACAGCAGACCCTGGGGGGAGCTGGCGGCACGCCTGGTGCCTGCCACCTGCCTTCCAGGGCAGCGCCTCTCCTGTGTCACCATCTTCCTGTGCACCTGTCGAGCCTTCGCCGCCGCCCAGCAGGTCCTGGACCTGCTCTTCAAAAGGTGAGCCCCCGCCCGCCTCCTGGCCGTGGGACTTGGGAGCGCCACTTCAGCTCGCCGAGGCTCTGTTTGCGCCTGTGAAGGCCGGGCTGCCCAGAGGCCCGGCCGCACAGGGCTGGCAGGACATCGGGTGAGCGTGCACAGCGCGACCCTGTGCCCAGCCCTGCAGGAAGGGCTGCCGGGGCACATGCGGTTCTTCCTGAGGGTTTCCTCTCCCCCGCGAAGAAGCCCCCGCCCTCGGGCAGAGCTGTCTTCCCGTTTGTGAAGGAGGTTCAGGGTTCCGTCGCGGGGCGGGGGGCCCTCCCGGAGCAGGGGTCGCTGGGCGCTGGCTGAGCCCACTCAGATAGCTGTAAGGGGCCGACTAGGGGCTACACATGGAGCCCCCACTGTGCGCAGGCACTGTTTCAGGCCTTTGGCATAAGTCAGTGACTGGGGCAGATGGAAACCCCTGCCCTCCCGGGCTTCCACCCTGGTCGGGGGGTCAGCCAGTAACACCAGGCGTCACAGCAGGTATGGTAGATGTGACGCCCTCACGGCCTCCTCTAGATACGGATGCATCCTCCCGTACTCCAACCAGGACGGCGGGCCCCAGGACCAGCTGAGAAAGTGAGTGGGCTTTGGGTCTGATGGGGGGGCCTCCTGTCTCCAAGATGGGGACATTGTGGGGCTGAGGCTGGGGAGGGGCTGGGCAGGGCTGAGGTCTGGGGGCCTCTCCTGCAGGAGGAAAGGAGTCAGGGAGCTGTGGCTGGGGTCCTGAGTCCCCAGGGAGCAGAGGGGAGGCTGGGGGCTCAGAGCCGCCCCTGAGAACATCCATCCCCTCCCAGATCTGGGGCCCAGGACAGGAGATGTGAGGGGCGAGCTGCTCACACGTCGGCCTCGTGCCCCAGTGTGAGTGCTCGGCTGGGGCTCACGAGAGCTCAGTCGGGGCTCGGGGGCTGGTCGTGTTCGCAATCCCGAGAAAGTGTCACCGGGGGAATGAGGCTGACACGCGGTGCGGAACAAAGGCAGCCCTTCGGGGCTGAGCTGCAGGCTCAGGTGCGCGAGGCCCAGGAAAGCCAGGCAAGGGCCATGCTCTGCTCGTCCCCTCCTCCCTCACATACTCATGCAGCACCTGCCGTGTGCTGGCCAGGCCAGTGTGATGGAGTAGATGCGACCCTCCCCGCCCTCCTGCAGTTTCCACTCCAGTGAGGAGGGCCTGGGGTCGGACAGGAATGAGTCAGGTTCCCTGAGAAAGGGAGAGGTGGTCACCACGGATGGAAGGCTCCCTCCCACGGAGGCTGCCCGCTGCACCTGCTGGCCAGGCTGCCCCTGTCTGGGTGGGCTGGGGCGGGGCTGGCCTCTGGATGGGCAGGAATGGGCCCCAACACCCAGCCGCCTTGGAGGTGCCATGGGAGGGCAGTGCAGAAGGAACGCCCAGGCCTCTGACTCTGTCACGCCCCATCCCCCACCACTGCCTGCCCCCAGTGCCATCTCCTCCATCCTGGGTACCTGACTGGACCAGTACTCAGAGGACTTCTGTCAGCCACCGGACTTCCCCTGCCTCAAGCAGCTGGTGGCCTACGTGCAGCTCAACATGCCTGGCTCTGACCTGGAGCGCCGCTCCCAGCTTCTCCTGGCCCAGCTGGAGCATGCTGAACTCACCGAGACAGAGCCGCAGGGTGAGGAGATCCCCCGGGGGTGGGGGGGCGGTGTGAGCACATGGGGAGGGGCCCCAGAGGCCGCTACTGGGCCAGGAGCAGAGGCGGGCCTCAGACCACCGGCGTGCTGGACCACAGGCGGGGAAGTCGCCCTGTGCCGGATTCTCGTGCCAGAGCTCCTATAATAGGCGGCAGGACGTTTTCTGTGTTTGGAAAAGCACCATTTGGAAGGCAGGCATGTTCATCTCCTCTGTCGCTTCACCGCTGTCTCAGCATCTCATGATGGCTCCAGCACCAACTCCAGGACCATCTGAAGATCTGGACTGGCCGCAGAAGCACCAGCAGAACTGAAGCCAGAACCAGAGCCAGAGGCATCTCCATCAACAGGTGCGCCAGGGTGGGAGCCGACAGCGCCGGCAGTCCCATCAGCACCTCTGTGGCTGGAGCCCGGCGCGGCGGGGACCAGCCCCGCGGGAGGCCACCCTCAACTCGCTGCCCCAGGATGTCCCTTCCCTCTCTTGTTTCTGTTTTTGTTTTTAATTTTACTTTTCCCTTTCATGTTATTTATGATGCTTTTTATCTTATGCCTTAATATAATCAAGCTTAACTTTTTAACTTTATATTGAGCACTTCAGGAGTGAGTAGTCCACTCACGTGACCTTCAGGCCTGCCTCGGAGCCGACCGCCTCACTCCTCAGAAGGAAGCCGGGGACGGAAAGCCATCGCCCCCCGGCCCTCCCTCCCCCGCCCCCGCACCCTCTAACCTGCTCTCTGTCTCTGTGTCTTTACCTGTTCTGGATGTTTCCATAAATGGAATCGTGCAACACACGGCTTTTTGTGTGTCAATTTTGAAAGAATAGTTCATTTTTGTTTTCTTTTTCTACCTGAAATAGCACTTCTGTTATATGAAGGGGA